TCTGTGTCAGCAGGACTGGCCCATCGTTTTGGCATCTGATTTCGTCTGGTATCCTGCAGAGCCCGACCCAGCTGGCATTCACTGCATACATGATATTGGTAGGAGCAACATCCGTATGAATGACCCTGAGTGCAACAGCATTAAAAGGTACCTAAGGGGAAAGAAAAAAACCTGTTTCATTAACTCTACGTAAGTTTGGTTTGAGTTCAGAGATAATTTTAAGTACACAAAACCCGAGACAGAGAGACATTATCTCAGGTCTTTCAAAAATGCTCATTTACCTGGTATGGCACAAAACTATGCAGCGGAAGTACTGATCCCGTGTGTGGAGGCTGCAGGTGACCAAGGTAACCTAGTATTGACATGTCACGTAGGATGCTGCTGTGTACTCGCCTGGAAAAGGAACCGCAACACATCAAGAAAAGACAGCACACACGGAGCAATTCAGCCAGATAACCCCCAGACATCCCTGAGTACACCATGCAGAATCAGCCACTATCTCACACAAGTTAAGTTTTTAGAACTTGAATCTTTGAAGAAAATTTAGAGCCATATTTTTGTTACCTCTAAGGAATCACAGGATTTTAGGGCATTTTGAAGAGGCACTAGTAATCCAATATAGCTTTTAAAAAAAATAAACAGAACCCACAAAATCAAACTGAAGTCTTATTAGAGAACTTTTCCCTTCTCCAACCTTGCTATTCATATAGCTGTGAGACAGAACAGTACACTTGCTTTCTTAAATAGCTCTTCAGGGAAAGTTGACTCAACAGAAAGCATTTAAAATGGGCAACAAAGAGTCAAGGTCCAGGAAATCATGCCTTTCAAAAATGTAAACAAACTGACTTGAAATGTCAGAGAAATTACCATGACCATCTATGTCTGTTAGAAATAGGCAAGGAACTTCCCCATTAGGGGAAAAAAGAAAAAAAGGAGACAGGATTCTGTAAGCATAAAGTATGCCCAGTGTAGAAGTCTGAATAACTTATAGCAGACACTGTAAGCAGTGCAGGGAGGAACAACCCCCTGCCCCCAAAAACAAACAAACAACAAAAAAAAAAAAAACAAGAAACTGAAAAAGTCCCTCAACCACCTCCCACCAAAACACAACAACAGGCGAACTTATTAGGAGACAATAAACCTTATAGCATCTGAACAATTTAACAGGGGTACTGAAGGCCTATGCAGGAGTTCTGTCATTAATTTCCTGTCAGGACTAAGCATACTTTTATTAAGCAAATTAACCACCACACAGCACTTACTACTTACGCTTCACCTGCAACCCCAGCTCGAGGGAACTCCGGGTGGATATAGAGCAGTTTATAGTCAGGAACTGATGTATCTTCCTCTCCTTCAGAGGACTTCCAGCTCTCTGCTGCACTCAGATTCGTTTGCTTGCTCTTGCCTTGCTGCTTGCCTTTGGTATACAGGCCAGGAGCAAGGTGAACGTACTCGGGGGTGAGTGGATCCATGGCCTTCCAGTCGTACACATCCATCTGAACCACGTGAGTGGGCGCTAACAGCCGAATCATGTCGGTCAGAAGCAGCAAACCCTCGCCTGTAGGAAGCAGAGAAAACTCGATTACTGCCACCTTGTAGAGAAATTTCAGTGCTGTTATGGAAGACTGACAGTAGCTCAAGCGCAGTAAGCTGTTGTTTTCTTATCCTAGACTCTCTAGGAAGCGTAGAGGCATACTGCTTAGGTTCATGTCTCTTCAGAACAGATTAACCGTGTTTACCTTTCACCCAGCCCATAGTGTTGATGACTAAAGGCACTTCCTTCTTGTAGGAGTTGAACACGTACTTCACAACATCGATGTATCTTTCTGTGTCCTGCTCACAGCTGGTCTGTCCGTAATACACCATCTTACGTGGCGTTTGCTGATGAGTGAATGGTGGACCTGAAAATAAGAACAAGCCTCTAATACTTCCAGTAACTGAAATGCAACCCCTCATCCCTATCAAGTACCCACAAGCAATCCCTTTTGAAATAAACTGTCTTCTTTTAGCATTTTAACAGTCATTCTCGTATAGTCTTGCAAAACTAGTTCTTCTGTAGTTGCAGACTCCATGCAATTTATTTATTTATTTTTAAGTATTATTTATTTGTTCATAAGTTCTAAAAATTCACAATCTCCTATGACAAGCTATCCAAAAAGCAAATCACTTGGATAATATCTTTTATAGACATGGACCCAAATTCACAGAACCACAAATACTAACAGTTTCTCTGGCTACAGGGTTTTTTGTTTGCTTGTATTTTTCTCCCCCTCCAGTGAGAACAGCCCCTGATCTATATGGATCTACTTGGCATTCCTCAAACTAATTATACCTGCAGAGACTAATAACTAAGACAAGTTTTCCCAAAGCAACCCGACAAATCTGAAAGGCTGAAAATCTACTTTGACACGTCACAACCTGTTCCACTGGCTTATAGACACAAATCTTCCCTTTAAAATATAGAGGAAGAAAAACAAGAAGGGAGAATGGCTCCATGCTATTTATCAATATTTTCACATGGATCTTACACAACCCTAGCAAGAAAACATTTACAGGTTTTTATTCTTTACATGCACCTTCAGTAGATGCGGCAACTTTGCCTGAAGTACAGCCCCTACTCAAAAAGTACCTTCTGGGAATTAAAGATGTTTCTGGCAAATGCCGAAAACAGCAAAGCACGTACCAAGAAACGGCTCTGTTACGCTGCTTAAAGACACGCATCCAGGCGGCGTAAATTCTGTTTGACCTATGTCACATTCCATATATTCAACGGAGGGAAGGCTGCAGTGAAAGAAGCCCATATGTTAGCATCCACTAGAAGAAAAAGGACATGACTTTGAATACGTACAAAGCACAATCTGATTTTGTTCCAGGTCATCAAAATTAAACTAAACAGTCAAACCACCACTTGCTTAGGCCCTTCTCTCACTTGAGCAAATATTAAGCAAGAACATAAAGGGCTCAGCTACACCGTACTTTATATCAAATGCTTGTATGACAATAGCTTCACACCTATCCAGTCTTAAGAGTAATGGGAACAGTACATCAGAAGTGGTGCTAATCAGCGTACCACCTCTCTCATATGAACTGGGCACTCTGAGATCAGCTATTTGATATTTATGAATTCTGTAATCCTTATTTTTAGCATGCAGTAGCCAAGATAATAAGCTTCTACACCTTTTTCTGCCAAGAATCTGGAGACAATAACAAGTCATAACCTTCGGTGTATTTTTAGGTGTTATAAATCTCTACTTATTACTAAACCCTGTTTGGTGTCCATTAGTTCATACGGTCCAAGTTGCTGTTAGCAGTATTTCAGTAGAAATATTTCAGTATGCAGCTTTTCTGCAAGAATACAGAAAAGACAAGAAAACAGATAACTAGGCTTTTTTTTTTTTCCCAAAAAAGAAGATAACCAGTTTCCAGTGAAAACAACATTCTTGAGCATCTTGGCAGGTAGTTTTCTTCTTCTCTTAAATCACATGCATTACTTAAAGAGCCACACAACATGAAAAAAAAACTCACTGATTCAGTAACAGATTGATCAGGTATCTGTTAAATGTTGACTTCCCAATGCTTTTTGGACCACACACCATAATGACAGGGACACCTTCATCTTCCGCTGGGGGGAAAAAAGCATTCTCTGAAAGGGGCTGACAGGGAGTTATTCTGATGTGCCCTATTTACATAAATTTGTGAAAGAAAACAACTTGCAAAACCTACAGAATCTCTGGTCTGACTATGATGCATTTTAATAAAAAAAAGTCCTTTAAAGAGCAATACGTTAAGTTTATCAATGTAAAGGGAAGAGGCTCCTAAAAGGAGGAGAAAGCTCTAATACTACAACACAGTTGGTATTAATTCCAACTGCTCACGATATTTTTAACGTTGTTAGATAAAGATGTTTTTTTACACAGTACAAAGAGCAAAACCAAAGGAGTTTTGACATCAAGTTGAGAAATATCTTTATACCACTGAAGTGCTTATCAGGCAGTAGAGACACAAACCCAACCCAGGTGCTGTATAAGCTCAAGTTGCACACTGCTTCAAAAAGAGTATGTCCTTTAATCAGTTCCTTTTAAAATGTACTCTTCCCCCTAATTATAATTCATGAAAAACTCTGCGCTTCTTTTTTTCTAGCCACTAAAGCTCTGCCAAGTCCATGCTACTCACCACAACACGCTTGTATTAGCTCCTCCAGGGCTAGGAACATGCTCTTTGACACCAGCAGTCCGTTATCTGGGCTACATTTCACGATACCGACGGATGCCAGAACTGCATCCTCTGTTGTGAAGCTGGACTCTTCTTTTTTCTATAGGAGAGCAGAAAAAAAGGTTGGGAAGACACATGTGAAGCCATACAGACGTGTGTTTTGTGCTGCTGGATACTGACAGGACTGCTGCAGGCACGCCAAGCACATGCTGGCTCCTCTTGCTCCACAGGATGCTCGTTTTGGTGGAGGAGCAGCAAAGGTGGAGCAACCCAGTCCCACCGAGATGGGTGCCTGTGAGGTGCCCTCCTGGGACTCACCTGTGCCTCGAAGAGCCGTGAGAGCGGTGGGAGGCTGAGCAGGAACCGTGTCACCGGCGTGTCCAGATGCTCCAGCAGCACCACGGCGCACTCGGGCGAGAACCTCGCCATCACCTTCACCCGCGCCTCTGTGAGGGGGGGAACACCGGGGCCCTGAGAACTCGCGAAATGGCGGCCGGGCCCCGCACCGCACCACACGCGAAATGGCGGCGGCGGCTGCCCCGCACCGCTCCGCACCACACGCGAAATGGCGGCCGGCCCGGCCCGGCCCGCACCGCACCACACGCGAAATGGCGCCCACCCGGTCCCGGTCCCCCCCGGTGTCCCCGTTCCCCACTCACGGCGGCGGACCCGGTGCGCTCGCATAGCGGCGCGGGCGGCGGCGCGGAGCTGCCGGGGGTCGGCGGCGGGCGGGCGGGCGGCGGGCAGCGCCTCCAGGGCCAGCGCGCAGTGTGTGGGCGGCGAGAAGACCGGCAGCCCCGGCTGGTGCGGCCCGATGGCGAAGCCCAGCACACGGACGGCACCGTACAGGCAGCGCAGGCGGCACTTCCCGGTGAAAGTCAGCGCCTGCGGGGGGGAGACGGCGTGAGGCAGCAGCACCGGCAGCGGGTCCGTCCCGTCCCCCCCGGGCGCTGCCCACCTGTTGAGGAGCCAGGAGCAGCACGGCGGCTCCCTCCGCCGCCTCCACGGCGGCCAGGCCGGTATCGGCCGGCGGCACCATCCCGGCGCGCACGAAGGAGGCGGCGAACTCGCGCCAGGCCGCCTCGGAACGGCCCCCACGGGGGGTGGTGGCGGCGGTGGTGGCTGAGGAGCGGCCGGGGGCCGAAGCCCGGCGGGGGCGGCCGCGCCGAGCGGGCATGGCCGCGGCCGCCGCTCCGCCGCCTCCGCCCCTCTCGCGAGAGCCGCGCCCCCCCCGGGCCTTTAAGAGGCGCCGCCCGGTGCCGGTGCCGCTGCCGCCCCCCCCCGTCCCCGTCATGAGGCAGCCGGTGCTGCTGTGCCTCGGGCTCTGCCTCAGCGCCGCCACCGCCTCCTTCTTCAGCCGTGATGGCGACTACCGCCTGGCCGGCCTCTTCCAGCTGCACGGGCTCGCACCGAGGGCTGCTGCCCGCCCGCTCGTGGACGGCTGCGATGAGTGAGGGACCGGGGGGCTCCAGAGGGGTCCCGGGGGCAGGCGGTGGCAGCGAGCGGGGTGTGGGTGCAGTGTTTTGGGTGCTCACAGCCCCTCCAGGTTCCCCCCTGAGGTGTTTTGTCTCCTTTGTTGTTTGTGCAGCGCTGCCTCCTTCAAGAGCCACGGCTACCACCTCCTGCAGACCATGCGTTTCGCCCTGGAGGAGATCAACAACTCCAGCAGCCTCCTGCCCAACGTCACCTTGGGCTACGACATCTACGACACCTGCTCCGAGTCTGCCAACCTCTACGCGACGCTGCGTGCCCTGGTCCAGAAGGGGCAGCGGGATGTCGGGGTGCTGCCCGCCCTCCAGCACTACGAGCCCACGGCTGTGGCTGTCATCGGGCCCGACAGCACCCAGCTGGCCCTCACCACGGCCGCCATCCTGGGCGTCTTCCTTGTGCCCGAGGTGAGCTCCGCTCCCTCACAGCAGCAGCCCCAACAAGTCTGTGGCAGCCAAAAGAAAGAGCTCCAGGGGGCTGATGGGGTGAGGGGGAGTGGGCTTGGGGCTGGCAGCTCAGTTTGTTCCTCAGCACAGCCCTGCTGCCCCCCTGGGACCTGGCTGCAGCTTTGGTCCAGCTGGGCACAAAGCTGACAGGCAGGAATCGCGCCCAGCTCCCTGGCTCTCTGGGGTTTCTCTCATGGCAGCGCATGGCAGAACGTTTTTCAGCCTCCCCAGCTCTAACTCCAAAAGACCCACTGCTTGTGGAGCCTCCCCTTACCACAGCAGCACATCCTCCTTGTGTGTCACTGCCTGGGGAGGGCAACCCCTTCTCCTGGCTTCCTTTGCAGATCAGCTACGAAGCCTCCCTGGAGACGCTGAGCCTGAAGCGGTTGTACCCCTCCTTCCTGCGCACCATCCCCAGCGATGGGCAGCAAGTGAAAGCCATCGCGCTGCTGCTGCAAAGCTTCGAGTGGAGTTGGGTTGCCCTGCTGGGCAGCGACAATGCATACGGCAGGGATGGGTTAGATGCCCTCTACGAGCTGCTGGTTGCAAGCGGTGTGTGTGTTGCCTACCGAGGCATCATCCCCACGAACAAGGACGCCAGCAGCCCGGAGCTCCACAGGCTGGTCAGAATCCTCACGGACATCAAGGTCAATGTCACCGTCGTCTTCTCCAACGTAAACAGCGCCCGGCCCTTCTTTGAGGTGGTGGTGCAGAACAACATCACGGGCATGGTGTGGGTGGCCTCTGAAGACTGGTCTTTGGCCCAAAACATCTGGCAACTGCCTGGCATCCAAACTATCGGCTCTGTGATTGGGATGTCAGTTGAGCAGGCAGAGTCTACGATGCTGGAACACCTCGAGTCTTGGAAATACGCAGAGGAACGTGCTGTGTCTGAAAGTGCTGGCAGCACGGGGGCAGGTGGGGAGAACAGAAGTAGCAGCAGCGAGAGTAGCTGGCCGAACTGCACCCAGCAGTGCCCAGGATGCCACCTGCTCGCCGCTGCCCCCAACATATACGACACTCAGGCCTCTAACAACGTGTACTCAGCCGTGTACGCCGTGGCCCACGGTCTCCACGACCTGCTGGGCTGTGCCTCGGGGGTGTGCAGCAAAGACCGAGTCTATCCCTGGCAGGTAAGAGCAAGGTGAAGAAGGATCTTCTTCCCTCTGCAGTGTGGATTTTCCCCCTGTGCTCAGAGGTTTTCCATCAGTCTGGGAGGCTCATCTCCAAGCAGGGCTGTTCTGGCAGCTAAGGCACTAGGACAGCACTCAGGACTCTCGAGTCCCCTGCGCTGCTTGTGGTTTTAAGTCTCTTGTCTCTGGCCACACGGGACAGGCACAGATCCTCTCACACAGACTCTCCCTTCACTGATGCCTCTAGCTGTGTGAGGCTGCTCTCAGGCTTCCCTCTCTCTGGTCACTGCACAGCTGCTGCCTTGTGGGCTTCAGCTGCTTGTGACAGGCAAAGCAGCCTGAATGCAGACCTGTGCTTTAGATCGTTTCTGTTTCTCAGCCACTAGCCCCTTTAAGAAACCTGGAAGAGGCTGCCTGCCACTGGAGACGTGCTGGTTGTTGGGGAATTTGAGAGGAGGCAGAGCAGAGCAGAGCAGCTGGCCTCCAGTACATCGCTCTGGTGACAAGGCTCCCCTCAGTGGGAATCTCGTCAGCAGGATCCACTCTGCTCTTACTCTCGTTTTACAGCTCCTACAGAAAATCAAGCAGGTAAACTTCAGCCTGCACAACAGCCAGATCTGTTTTGATGCCAATGGGAACATTTATAAAGGTTACAACATCATTATGTGGAACTGGAGAGGCCTGAGCTGGGCTTTTGATGTGGTTGGAACTTTCACTGTGAACCCCAACAGGCTGCTCCTTAACCGCAGCAAAATCCTGTGGCACACAAAAGATCACCAGGTACTGTTCTGCATCCACGTCTTGTTTATTGTGTACTGGCAAGCTCATTACATCCCGACACTACTTCCCGGGTATTTTCCCATTACAGGGCAGATGGAGGCAGTATGTGGGGAGGGTACAGGGGGTGATTTGCATTCTTAGTAATGCCTTTCATCCTCCTAAGCAGGGTATGTGCTAAAAGGCTCCCAACTCCAACTTTTACCTCCAAACATCCCAGTTTTCCCCCTATCTCTGGAAGAAGGACAGCATGGCGAGCTCTTAGCTGCTGCCCGTGGTCTATCTAAAGGACAGCAGCAAGCTGCCCGTCCTGGGCTGCAGTCTGTCCTCCCAGCTGCCCACCAGCTGCCTGATGGCTGCTGTGCTCCCCGCAGGCCCCCATCTCCATGTGCTCCCAGCCCTGTGCTGCTGGGGAGAAGAGGCTGCAGCAGAACCGCCACAGGTGTTGCTTCAGCTGCGTGGCCTGTCCGGCAGGGACCTTCCTGAACAGAACGGGTCAGTAAACTCTGGGCAGCTCCTGCCTCCCCTTCCCACACCCTTCCTCCTCATCGCATCAGCTCCTTGCTGCTGTCTTACCCCTCTCCTAGCCCCAGCAGCTACCTCTTTTCTCTCATACTCTTTTCCCCCTTTTTTTTTCTCAGTCTCTTTTCCTCCTCATGACCAGTAAAAACCTCTGGGCTCACCTGAATGCGGTCAGCCTGACTTCCCTCTTTGCTTACTTGTGGGTATGCAAAGCCTACACCCTGCTCTCAGCCCCGTGCTTTCCGGGCTTGCCCAGCACAGTCAAATACCTGGTGCCAGCAAAGCCCCTTCCTTTGCGGAAAGGGGACAGGAGACACCTGGCGTGACAGCTGGTCCCTGCACCGCATCCTCCAGGAGGGAAATGGAGCCCAGTGCCACCTTTGTGCCCTGGGTTGCACCGGTGTGGTCACCAGCAGCTCCGGTGCCCTCAGGGCATATGGAAATGACCCCTTCCTGGGACCATTAGCCACCAGGACAAACCCCTTGCCAGCTCTTGCTCCTGGTCCCTGGGTGGCCTTACTCTGCACCTGCACTGTGGGTGGCAGAAACAGCCAGCTCTGAGTAACAGCGGGAGCAGGGAACCCCTCAAGACACTGAGGTGTGTTCCTTGTGCCGTGGCCAAGCCTGCAGGAGCTGCTGCAGCCCCCTCCTCACTGCTGCGTGCCCCAGCCCCTTCCCATCCCGCAGCCTGCGCTCCCCTGTGCCTTGTCCCACCTGGGAGAGGACTTTTGGGCACTCCTTTGGGGGAGCTTCTGGGAAAAAAGCAAAGAGCCCTCACTGCTCCTGAGGGCTCAGAAGCGAGGGGAAGGAGCAGGAGCAGAGCAAGGGGCAGCTCCCCTGGGGCATCTCACTCACCGGGGCTCTGCTGAGCACCACCCACGCGTGTCTCCCGCAGACCCTTACACCTGCCAGGCCTGCGGGGCGGACGAGTGGTCCCCGGCGCGCAGCGAGCTGTGCTTCAACCGCACCCTGGAGTTCCTGTCGTGGGCCGAGCCCCTCTCCTGGGCCCTGCTGGCCCCCATCGCGCTGCTCCTGCTGCTGCTGGCCGCCCTCTCGCTGCTCTTCGCCCTCCACGCCTCCACACCCCTGGTGCGGGCAGCGGGCGGCCGGCTCTGCTTCCTCATGCTGGGCTCGCTGGGCTGCGCCTGCGGCAGCCTCCTCTGCTACTTCGGTGCTCCCTCGCGGCCCTGCTGCCTGCTGCGCCTCCCCCTCTTCGCCGTGGGCTTCGCCGTCTTCCTCAGCAGCGTGGCCGCCCGCTGCCTGCAGCTCGTCGCCATCTTCAAGCTGCGCGGCCGCTGCCCGAGGCTCCGCCGGGCCTGCCTGAGGCGCCGCACCCCGCTGCTGCTGGTGGCGGCGGGGGCCGCGGGGCAGGCGGCGCTGTGCCTGGCCGCGCTGCTCTCCGCTCCTCCCGGCCCGCTGCGGCGCCGCGACGTGGCCGCGGAGCTGCTGGTGCTGGAGTGCGGCGGCGGGGGAGCGGCGGAGGCGGCGGCGGAGGCGCTGAACGTGGCGCTGAGCGGCGGCTGCTTCGCGCTGAGCTACGCGGGCAAGGACCTGCCCGCCGCGTACCGCGAGGCGCGCTGCCTGACGTGCGGGCTGCTGCTGCACCTGGCGTGCGCCGCGGCCGCGCTGTGCACGCGGGGCGCGTTCCGCGGCCGGGAGGCGGCGCTGGCGGCCGTGCTGGGCGCGCTGTGCACGCTGGCGCCGCCTCTGGCCGGGTACTTCGTGCCGCGCGGGCTCGCGCTGCTGCTGCGCCCGGAGCAAAACACGGCCGCGCACTTCCGAGGCGCCATCGGCGGCTACGCGCGGAGAGGCCCCGCCCCCTGAGCCTGGCCACGCCCCCTGAGCATGACCACGCCCCCTCACCCCTAAGCCCCGCCCCCTCTGAGCCTGGCCACGCCCCCGAGCCCGGCCCCGCCCCGATGGCGCCGCGCGGGTCCCGGTAGCGGCGCGGCCATGGCGGGAGCGGGCGGAGCAGCAGCGGCGGTGGCGGCGCACAGCGTGCGGGTGCTGCGGGAGCTGAACCGGCAGCGCGCCGCGGGGCAGTTCTGCGACGCCACGCTGGGGGTGGGCGGCCGCCAGTTCCGCGCGCACTGGCCGGTGCTCGCCAGCTGCTCGCGCTTCTTCCGCGGTGTGGGCGGCGGTGGAGGCGGAGGGGGGGGAGGACCGGGGGGGAGCCCGGTGCCGCTGCCCGAGGGCCTGGCGGACACGTTCCAGCTGCTGCTGGATTTCTTCTACACCGGCCGCCTGGCGCTCACGGCGCACAACCGGGCCCGCCTGCTGGCGGCGGCCGAGCAGCTGGGCGTGCCCGAGGCCGTGGCTCTGTGCCGGGCCTTCCGCCCCCCCCCCGCCGCCGCCCCCCGGCACCGGCCCCGCCGCGCTCCCAACGCCCCCCCCCAGCCTTCAGCGGAGCCCCCCGAGCTTTGCGGGGCGGCTACGGAAAGCTCCGTGCCCTCCGCTGCCCCCCCTGATGCCCCCCCTGCTGCCCCCTCCACCCCCGCTGTCCCCCCCCCTCCGGTAGTGGGGGCGGGGGGCGGCGGGGAGGAGCCCCCCGGGGGCAGGAAGGGGGCGAGGGGCAGGAGGAAGCCCCCCGAGGGGGCGGTGGGGAGCGGGAAGGGCGCGGCGGCAGCGGCGGAGTGCCCGACGTGCCACAAAACCTTCCTGAGCAAATACTACCTGAAGGTGCACAACAGGTGACCCGCACGGCTCTGCTTCATAATGGGGAGGGGGACCTGGGGGGGGGGTAACCGGGGGGGCACCGGCACTGCCCGGCCCGTGGGCATCGCCCCCGGGTGTGCTGAGCTCGATGAGGGACGGGGAGACCCGGCTGAGCCCCGGGGTCTCAGCTCTAGGGGTCCCCATGCACCCCCTGGCCCTGCGGAGGCAGCGGCTGTGCGTGGCCTCCAGAGTCAGCGTGAGTTTGGGGGAATCAACGTGGGCTGCGGGGGCTGCGCCTGCAACAAGCTGGGCAGAGAGCATCAGGGTGAGCACCTTTGGGTGCTGCAGGATCAGCAGGAGGGGTGGCAGGAGGCTTCCCCAGGGTGCTCTCCAGCCCCTGGGGGTGGCTGTGGGGGTGCTGGCGCTACGGGAGGCTGTGAGAGCTTCGTTCAGCCCTCCCCGTGCACACGCTGCTTCTGAGTGAGCAGAGCTCCTCGAGGAGCTGCTTCAGACACCGAAACAGGCAGCTGGTGGGGCCGGCAGCGGTGGCAGCAAGTGCGTTTCTTGCTGAGCACAAACGCCGGAGCCCCCAGACCCGCACACGTGGCTGGATCTCGTGCAGCCCCTTCCTCACCCAGGCCAGGGGCAGCAGAGCTGTGCTGTCAGGCCGGCAGTAACGGGGGCTCTCTGCTTGTGTGTCCCCAGGAAGCACACTGGAGAGAAGCCCTTTGAGTGCTCCAAGTGTGGGAAATGTTATTTTAGAAAAGAAAATCTCCTGGAGCACGAAGCCAGGAACTGCATGAACCGATCCGAGCAGGTATGGATGGCCCTGAGTCGCGCCGGTCGCTTGGAGGGCGGGCGGTGGCAGAAGCAGAATTTGTCCAGCTGCAGCCCAAATCCCTCAGCTGCTGAACAAAACCTGATCCTGCTGCTGCTGTGCTGTCCCCAGAGCATCACGAAAGCCCACTCTGGGTGAGGGTGGCAGCGGCTCCTGTTCGTGGTACGCTGGTTCCCCATAGCCTGGTATTTTAGTGGCTTTTGCATTTTTTTTCAAGCATATGGGAATCCTCTTTGCACTGGAGAATCGCTGTGTTCCCATGGGGCAGGTTAACCGAGGCCCAGCGCCGCGATGGCAGCCATGGGTCTGAGTGGCTGTGCTGGCTGCTGGCTTTGTGTCTGCCTCAGCCTCATTCTTTCCTGGCCTGTGCAGAAGCTGATGCTTTCCCTGTCCCTTGCAGGTTTTCACGTGCTCGGTCTGCCAAGAGGTATTCAAGAGGCGGATGGAGCTGCGGCTGCACATGGTGTCGCACACCGGGGAGATGCCCTATAAGGTCAGCAGCGCCTGCCTCTGGCATTCCTTTGAATGGCTGCTGCAGCCTGGCGCAGCGGGGAGCCGGAGCAGGAGCAGGATGCCTTTCTATTCTGGGCAGCCTGGCCCTGCCGGCAGGTGCTGCACTGGGGGCTGTGGCTCTGCACGGGGATGGTTTTTCTCCCCAGCGCCTGCCTTTCCCCTCGTCCCTGGGCTGATCGCCGGGTCCCTTCCCTGTTGGCTGTCAGTCGGCTCCAGCAGCAGCAGCAGGGCTGTTCCCCTCTCTGAGCTGGAACAGGCTCTCGGGGCGTGCTGGAGCCAGGCAGCTTCTTCTACAGCCCCGCTCCTTAGGTTTCTGCCACCTTACCCGCAGATCCGTGTGCTGCAGCACCACCCAGCACCCCACAGTCACCGCTCAGGAGGTGTCTGGAAGCTAACTCTGCTCTTGTCCTGCAGTGCTCCTCCTGTGCGCAGCAGTTCATGCAGAAGAAGGACCTGCAGAGCCACATGATAAAGCTGCACGGCGCCCCGAAGCCCCACGCGGTAAGGGGAGCGAGCGGAGGCGGTGCTCCTTGGTGCCTCCTCTGCAGGAGGAGTGCTGTAGGGGTTGTGAGGGAATCCCCCAGCACTCGGGCACAGGTTAGAGAACGGTGCCCGTTGTGTGCTCCGGCTCTGCTGAGAGAGGCAGGGAGTTATTAAGTGGAAATGGTTTTTGTTCTTCTTTTTTTTTTGGGGTGGGGGTGGATAAAGGAGCAACCCTCGTGGCTTTCTGGCCGACAGACCCAAGTACTGACGGGTGTTTCAGTTCAGGCAGGCTGTCTCATCCCATTCGGCATCTCAGAGCTGGGGCTGCTGCACCAGCTGGCTGCAGGGAGGGCCCCGATGCAGTGGGATGAGTCGTGCACGGCCCGCGTGGTGCTGCGAGGGGCGCGGGGCTGGTCGGGGTGCAGAGCTGTGGGCGAGCTGCCTAACCCTGCGCTCTCCTGTGGACTTGCAGTGTTCGACTTGCTCCAAGTGCTTTCTGTCTCGGACAGAGCTGCGTTTGCACGAGGCGTTCAAGCACCGGGGAGAGAAGCTGTTTGTCTGCGAGGAGTGCGGACACAGAGCCTCAAGTCGCAACGGCTTGCAGATGCACATCAAGGCCAAGCACAGGTATGACACAACCCGTTCCTTCCTGCGTGCCACCTGCCCCGAGCCCCAGCTGGGTGGGTGCTGGGGAGCTCCCGCAGTGCCTGCAAGGTGTGTTAGTGGTGCTTGCCACCCTCCAGCTTTCCTGGAGGCAAGAAATTTGGTAAGGGGCCGACCTTCAGTCCTGCTTTCTTCCAAAAGAAGTCCGTACTGTCCGCACTTCCTCCGAGTGTGTGACTGTAGTAATTAAGAGGTGATGACCGAAGCTCATCAGCTGCCCTGCTGCCTGGCTCGTTCCTGTTCTCAGAAGGACGAGCACGCATCAGCAGCTGCGCTCCACGCTTGCCCTTGGTGTTGTTCCCTGGGCTGGTTCTGATGCCTGAGGAGCAGGAGGCACCAGCTCGGTGCTTCAGGAGCCTGTGCTTGCAGGAGAGAATTTGTGGGCCTCCGAAATAGTTTAGTTTGAGATGGGCTGAGGTAGGATTCAATTACAGTGCTTTGAGGTGACAGCTAGCTTCAGGGACCAAAGGCAGGGGTCAAGGTGACCGTTCTCCAGCTGGGGCCTGCCTCGGGGGGGCTCAGCTGCGTGTCCCCTGCCCGCAGGAACGAGCGCCCCTACGTTTGTGAGTTCTGCCACCACGCCTTCACGCAGAAAGCCAACCTCAACATGCACCTGCGCACGCACACCGGCGAGAAGCCCTTCCAGTGCCACCTCTGCGGCAAGACCTTCAGGACACAAGGTACCCGCTGGGCACGCAGCACCGCGGCCCCACCGCCCCAGCCCTGCCTCAGGGTTTGCAGTGCTGAGCACCACGCTCCTGCAGGTATCTGGGACTTCTGGAAGCAGCTGTGCTGAGAAACCTCTGCTTCCCCTCCAGAACAAAGCGTGCTCTCACGCATGGGATAATGCTTCAGGAAGGAGCATTCCCTGTATTTTCCCTACTCCCACAGCACAAAGAGGGGAGGACAGTGGTGAATTTCCCACAGTAATGGTTAGCTTAGACTAGCAAACTGCTGCTTACGCCCCTTTTAAGCATTCATAACTAGCCTGGCACAGAGCATACGTGGTCTCACCACAGCGTAGCCTGCGCCTGTGCCCGGACGGGGACTCCCAGCGGACTGCTGACCTCCAGCTCTCTCTTCCCCTGCTCACGGCAGCGAGCCTGGACAAGCACAACCGGACCCACACAGGGGAGCGCCCCTTTAGCTGTGAGTTCTGCGACCAGAGGTTCACGGAGAAGGGGCCGCTCCTGAGGCACATCGCCAGCCGGCACCAGGAGGGGAGGCCCCACTTCTGCCAGATCTGTGGGAAAACCTTCAAAGGTACCTCGTGCTCCCAGCTGTGCCTTGGCACGTCTGGCACGGGCCGCGCCTGCAGCTGCTCTGCTGGCACGTGCTGCCGGCAGGGCCGCCCTGAGCTGCTGCCTCCTTCTCTTCCCAGCGGTGGAGCAGCTGCGTGTCCACGTCCGCAGGCACAAGGGAGTGAGGAAGTTCGAGTGCACCGAGTGCGGCTACAAGTTCACGCGGCAGGTGGGACACGGCCTGGTTCTGGGGACATCTGTGACACGCTGCGTGCCTGATCGGGGCACGCACATCAGGGGTTGCTCCCCTGCAGTGACACAAGCAGGTTCCCACTTTGTAGTGAGGCTTTTTCGGGAAGCGTGCAGCCCAGCCTGAGGGAGAGCTGAGTGCTTGGGGCTTCGGGCAGTGCTGGCAGCACAGGAGGGCGCGGTGCTTGAGCAAGGGCAGGCCCACGGGGCAGGAGGGTTTTGCTGTGCCCCTTCCCCCCCCTGAGAAGCACAGCACCCTGCGGGTGAGCTGGCCCTCAGCAGCTCCGTCCTTTCTGTTTCACAGGCTCACTTGAGGCGCCACATGGAGATTCACGACCGCGTGGAGAACTACAACCCCCGGCAGAGGAAGCTGCGAAATCTGATCATCGAGGACGAGAAGGCCGTGGTGGTGGCCCTGCAGCCGCCCCAGGAGCTGGAGGTGGGCTCAGCCGAGGTCATCGTGGAGTCCCTGGCCCACGGCTCCCTGCCCGAGGAGATCCCTGTGCAGAGACTCTGTTCCAACGAGAACTTCCCTGCGGCAGACGTGATAGAGCAGTCGCTGATAATAACAGCAGCAATTCCTGATGGCTGTGAAACGTAGGGCGGCTGCACGCAGCCTTCCTACCAAACACAAGAAAGCGTTAGGCTGGAGTGAGGCTCTGCTACGCTTGTTCTTCTCAGCCTCCAGGGGCTTGAAGTCGTACGCCCAGCCTCTCTCCCTCCTCCAGTTTAAAGATCCTACCCCCGGGTTGCAGGGAAAGTTCCTAATGAAGCGATAATCGGGTATCAAACTAGGAAATATGAAGCTACTCAGAATGACTACTTAACTGTACATACATTGTATGGGATGGGATGTGATTGACAACTCCGTATGTGTAGTACTGTGAATTGCTTTTTAATGAGCTCTCATTCGTGACCAGAAGGGATAGCTGCCTCACCTCCCGTTTCTACAGCGCTAGCTCTTAGCTTGCTCCATTAGTTCTACCTTTGAGTCTGAATGCTCGTGATTAAAGTTTACCTTCCGGAAGAGTGTCTGACTGCCCCTTTCCTTAAATGTGTGCTGGAAGGACCGTGTCCTCAATTAAATTTGTGCCTTATTTCCACTCGGTTCTGTCAAGCTTCTGCTACTTATTACCGTTACTTTACTACATTAAAGGTGTGGTGTGGCCTTGTATCTTCTCACCACTGAACTAATTTAGCTGCTACTGAGCTTGAAACAGTAGGATTACCTCAAGGAAGTGGGTGATTCTCTAAGCTCCTGCTTTTAGATGTGGGGATTTATACTTGTAAGTAATAATTTTCTGAAATAACTTAATCCAGGGTTGCTGTCACATTGAAAACCATTTCCCTGGCATTCCTGCGGGGTGGCAGTGGAATATTACACCTGAAACTGAGCACACATCAGGATTCACGTCCCACCCACCCTCAGTCCCCTTTCCTTTTTCTACTCACCAAGCAGGCAGCTCTCCCGTTTAAATGCACCTCAGGCCTAGGATGAGAAACATCTCAGCAAAACCTTGTTCTAGTAATCTTTCTCTTGAAAAACATAGAGATTTATGTAACGTTTTATTTAACTTGACTGTTGCAAGTAAATTTAAAACAAATTATGAGAATAAAAATACATTATCTGTAAATGTAAAATGCCTTTGTTTCAAAGGATGGTATTTAAACAGTACTCAAAGATTTGGACGCAATGGATTTTACAAAAAAATAAATACAAATCCATAATCGTTTAGCTGGTTCAGGAATTTCAGGGTGGCAGGTCCAGCAGTGAGCACTACGGTATGAGATATAGTGTACGTACTAGTTAGAGTTCAGCATAAATACTTCAGTCTGCAACACAAGTTCGGCCGTACAGCGCGTGCAGGCAGCTCGGGGTCTTCACACTTGCGCAGGTCTCTCGAGTGTCACCACGTCGCAGCCGCTGCTTTTTGTCCCCACACACCAAGTGCTGTGCAGCCAGGTGGCTCGGTGTGCAGGCTCAGCACAGCAGGACGCGGCGATTCTCCCAGAAATGGGGGAGTGGGCCCTGAGCTGCTGGCTGTGTGTCCCGCTGGCCGGCTCCTCCACCCAACGGGGACCGCCCCGGCCCCGCTGTGCCACGAGGAGGAAAGCTCCAGCAGCAGCTCTTGCAACACCACTTCCCTGCGCCTAAAGACAAAACCAGCAAGGAGAGCCCGCTGTGCCCAGGGGACCCCTGCTGCTCCCACCTCGCCATGGATCCTCTGCCGCGGGCGGCAGTTTCAAGGCACTGTCAAAGTTTCAGACTTTGAGCAAAGCCCAAGCTTCATAAACAGCTTTCTCAAGTTTCACAGCTAAGTAGCTTAGCATAAAATAGTATTCAAGGCAAAACAGATTTTTAAAGCTGTGAACGTGTTGATTTTAGAGATAGTGTTCTGATGCACTCAACGGCAAGCCAGAAGGCATGCAAGCCAAGTCAACAGGCTTTCCGCTTTTCGTTCTTTCTTTCTTTTTTTTTTTTTTTGTTTCCTATTGGTTAAAAACCAAAGGCAGAAAAAAGAGCAAATCTAGCCACCATTTCAGCCACTATTACACTACAGTTTTCTGGAAGCAGTGCCCATTTTCAGATGGGCCATACTGCAATCCTGTTTTCTTTTTCAAGAAACATTCCACAAGTAAACTGCAAGCAGCTTCTCTTCAGCTGAAGGTATATTGAGGAAACACAGTTCACGCTACCTAGGCCACTTGAGCAAGTATAAAGGCAAATCTTACACGTGCCACACACACACACAAAGAAAACCCTAAAATAACTAACTTTCACTCCACAACACTCTTGCTAACTCCTACACCTTGGCCAAATGACCTCAGCAGCATTTTCCAATTACTCAGATTCCAAGAGCTTCTGCAAAGTGAAGATGAGACAGGCACGAGAACTCTCCGAGGGTTCAGCAGGTTGCCTCACACCAGCTGATGCATTTCTGCACCACGGTGTCTAAACACCACCAGCTTTTCTTCTACAGGTCTGTGGCAAATCTTTTAGGGAAGTTGTGCTTACCTTTCCAGGCAATCTTTTTTTTTTTCTTCCTTTTAAAATAGCAGAATTCCAACCCAGCTCCTTTACAGCAGTGAAGGAATAAGAACTTGCCCTCGATACACAGGGCCTACCTGCCCGACACAGCACGTGCTGACAGCCTGGCATAGAACTGACAGTAAATTCTGTTAGTCACGAGTCACAGAACAAGCCACACAGACATCTTCTGCTATGTTCAGCCCCATGCTGAACAACCCCATAGGAACAAATTCTGTCAAAATAGTAAAGGAGAAGGAAGGCTCCTTCCTGAGGGCCTCTGGCATGAGTCATGAGCCCTAGAAGCCGTTTCACAAGCCAGCTGAGGGGGATTCACTTTTCCTTTTTCCTTTAAAGAACAGTGCAGTTTGGGTGACCAGAAATGAAGGCACCCTAGTTGTAACAATACCATTAAAAGATAAATAAAGGTGTTCTGAGGGGAAAAAAAAAAAAAAAAAAAAAGTGTTCTTCTAGGAAGGACAGGAAAAGAAACACCTGCAGAAGTTTCAATGACAAGACTTAAAAACAACACAACAACACAATACACAAAGAACCAAGTTCAGACAACAGGCCAGGCGAAGCTTCGTGCCCCAAACTCTCTAGGATCCCTGCTCTACAGACACGTTCCTTCCGAGGGCATGGACAGGAGCCAAGGGCTATGGTGACACGATGGGATGGGCTATGCTCTCGCAGTAACCTCGTTCAGGAAGGTCTCTTCCCCTCGAACCGCACGGAGGCAGATGTGCGAGTGGCCTGCCTCCCTCTGAAGCACACAGCAGGGGCAGGCTGCAGACCACAGTCCTACCACACAGACCCCTCCCGCTGCAGCAGGCTCAGGCCGTCGGGGGGTCGGTCCTGCCCATTTCCTTCCGTTCCTTTTTTTCTCTCCATAGGAAGAAACTGAAGAAAGGACTTTGGTGACAAACAAAGAGTTACGGGGTGAAGGAGCTCAAAGTGAAAGGCATCTGACCAAAAGCTGTAAGTCGTGATGCTGCAGTGACGGTTAACACAATTGTTTTCTTCAGAGTTTGCCTCTCAGGTCTTCTCTGTGAGCAGTGCTGCGCCTTCTGCCTCCACAGAGAAGGACTGAGGACCGCTGCGCCCGGAGGCCTCGTGTTCTGCCAGCTAGGTTTCTACAACAGCATTTCAAACATTCAGAATTTTTACTCCCTCTACTGATCAGTATATGTGTTTGTTTCCAAGCACCAATTTGCCTCTGTCTTCTCTCAAAGCAACACTGGTTCTGGATAACGAACTCGCATCGAGCCAGGGACAGCGCGCTCCCCTGCTAACGAAGCTCGTTAAGGTTCTGGTTGTGGAGGTCCTGGCGCTGCCTGTTCAAGTTGATGGTGTTGTCCAGCGTGATGCTGTCATCCTCCTGCGTGGTCTCCGGCATGAACTGTCGGAATATGCTGACGCTGCCGTGCCAGAAGATGGGCTCAGGGAGCCTGCCCACCACGCTCCACGTTCGCGTTTCGGGGTCGTACGCTTCCAGGACGTCCGAGAGCTCAAAGGTGTTATCGTAGCCGCCGGAGACGTAGAGCTTCCCACCCAGCACGGCCACGCTGCCCCCAACGTGAACCTACGATTGAAGCATGAAGAGGCACCGCAATTAGGAGGGGGATTTTGCCCAAGGAGGCAGATGTCTTCCTACTGCAAAGTTAGAGGGGGCACGGCGCTCACCAGCTGCTGCCTTCCCCCCACGTCAGCACAGCCATGTGGTGCTGAACCGGCACCGACAGCCAGTGTGAACTTTCCTCCCAGGTAACCACACGTTTAAATGCACTCCGTGCTCAGCGGGTTACAACCTTGCCAGAATCCTGCTTCCCAAAAGTAAATCGAGCCATTTAACACTGAAAGGCATCCAGTAGGTTGGTGAGCATCTTACCTGGAGCATGGCAGGGATTTTATCCCATTCATTCTTCACTGGATTGTAAACATCCACTTCAGCTGAGTCATCTCTGCAGAAGATAACACAAAATTACTCTTCTGTGTTACCAAAACCTTCTCCTTGTGAAGCCCCGAGTTCAACAGCCCTCGTATGAAGGCTCTGGGCTCAGTGCAGAGCCCAGCCTCCAGTATGGGCTTCTTAGGTCCCAGCAGTGATGCTCAACCCCAGGGAACACCCAGAGCTCTGTGCTGCACCTCTGTAGATGCACCATGCAATGCCAGGCATCACACGTGTACACATGAGGGCTTCCCTAGTGCTCAGTGCTAGCGACCTACACCCAAAGAGCCTCACTGCCACTTCTGCACTTCTCCACAGGCAAAGCCACGCTTCCTACACTTCCTGGTGTACACTGAGGTCTAGGACACTACCTATGAGGTACAGCAGACAATTTGGAGACAATCCTGAGGGCTTTCCCAAACTTGGTCTGTTTTTGAGTTTGCATCTATGGTGGATGTGTTCACAGACTGACTTTTTGCCAGCCTCTTTGAGAGGCTTTGGCACCAAGTGCTTAAGAGTCTGGAAGAAAAACCAGCACTGCTCTGGAGACTTAAACCTCTATGCAGTTAAAGTAACGGGATCCCTACTGCCTGAGGATTTTTTTGTTTGCCAACACCAAATTTAGACAGGCCAGAGAACTGTAACAGAAGAGCTTACGGGGCTGCATAATCCCCCAAGGCTTCTTTTACCCGCTCACCACTGCAAGAATCAAGCACGACAGCAACAGGTGAGGGATGTTTGTAACACAGAAACGCACACTGCTGGCACCAGAATGCAAAGAGGACAAGGTCAGGGTGGCCAGAGAAGTGCTGTCAGTCAGTCCAAGACAGTCCTGCTGCAGATGGATTTGAAAGGCTTCAAAGTAGAAAATTCCACTTTATTCTTCAACTGCTGAATTTCCATTCCCATTGATTTCGCCTCTTTGTCTGTGATAACTTCATACGCTGTTGTTTGTTGCCCAAGTGACAAGACATCCCTATGGATTTCTTACATCAATCTGACTGGGAGAGGGAGTGAAAATAAACGAGAAATCTCACCTACAACATCGGCACCCAGTTAGCAAACCAGTGCATCTAGAAACCCACCTGCTGGTCCCACGGTGAAGCCGAGGTGCGTGCTGTGGGACTTGCTGGTTATGTTCTGAACAAATACTCCTAAGGCTCCTCTAGGACACACATTTTAAAACCCAATTTTTA